GGAGGCTGAAAGACCGCAACACCCAATGCTGCGTCACGCGGATGCACGTCGGGGCCTTTTCTATCCTTCCAGGGGACAGAAAAATGCGGTTCACACGCAGCGGCCCGCAGCGCCTCCGCCCGCCCCCGACCTCCCCCCCGCCCCCCTCCCAGGGAATTGCAACGATTAGGGCGAGAGAAAGAGAGAGAGAGAGAGAGACAAAACAATGAGAGAGAGAGACGCTTACGAGGACTACTCTAGTCGGCGGCGAGCCCGGGGGGAAGTGAGAAGGGGCGGACCTTCTCAGAAGGCTCGGAACTCCCCTGGCCTTCTGAGAAGTTTCTTGAGCTTTCCCCGCAGACACAGACAACTTCTCAGGAGGCGCGAGGGCTTCTGAGAAGCCCCGCCGCCTCCTTCTCCTTCTGACTCTCCCCCCCTCGCTCGCCGCCGATCTACTTGCCTCCAGGGTGCCCTGGGCTTCTTGAGTTTCGATGGTTTCGCTGTGGAAGGCGCGACGTTCCCACGCCAAGAATCCATGGACGTCCTGGGGTCCCAGGGTTGGGCTTCTTGTGGTCGGGCCTCCACTGTAAACCATCAGCCGCGCAGAGGGCCCGTGGGATGACCCAAACGTGGTGGCAACGAGCAGCACGGTTGTCTGGACGTCCTCGTGGGTTCTGGGCAGAGCTTGGGGTAGAGCGGGGGCGGCGGGCACGGCTCGGTAAGCTCTGGCACATCACGCGGTCGGCCTGAGGTAGAAGTTCGAGGTCGGTTGGGGGAGGGTGTTTTTCTCCTCTTCCTCCTCCTCCTTCTCTTCCTCCTCCTCCTCCTCCCCCTCCTCCTCCTCCTCCTCCTCCTCCTCCTCCTCCTCCTCCTCCTCCTCCTCCTCCTCCCCCCCTCCTCCCCTCCTCCTCCCTCCTCCCCCTCGTCCGCCTCCTCCTCCTCCTTCTCTTCCTCCTCCTCTTCCCCCTCCTCCCTCCTCCTCCTCCTCCCCCTCGTCCTCCTCCTCCTCCTGCTCCTCCTCCTCCTCCTCCTCCTCCTCCTTGTCTCTCTCCAGGGGCAACGTTAGGGAGGGAATGGGCCCAGGGAGGGGCGCGTCGACCACAAATCGCCCGCGCCCGCGCCCTCCTCAGACCCAGGCCTCGGTGGCCACACGTGAACCCTAATTACCCCCACCCCCCCTGGGTGGCCTCCCACATGGGGTCCGAGTACAGTCGGACCGAGGTTTCAGGTCGAGGTCGGTTGAGGGAGGGTACCCTATTGTAGTGCTTTTCGTCTTTGTTGAATGTTCTTGTGCATCCTGGGGGAGGGCACCCTCGAGTGTTCTTCAGTTTGGCCGGCGGAGGGCCTCGTGTGCTTGAAGGATATGTTTCTGCCCTGCGTCCGGCTGTAGCAGTGGTGGTGCATTACTTTCGATCTGGTACGGTAGGTTCGCGTCGTGCCGACTGGGGGCGACCCCGCCGTTGGCGTTCAACGTTGGACCCCGCCGGCGACTTAGACTCGGTCGACGCGGAACGATCTGACGTTTGGGAAGCGGCCGATCGTCAAAGGTTGAAAGATCCCCTCGATGTTCGAAACCATCGCCAGGGTCGACACGACGTGAACCCGCCGCATTTGATTGTAGTCATCGTCTTTCCAGCACTTGTTGACCATCGTTCCACCCACGACCTGGCACGTCTATGCACGATGTCACATAAATGCTTTCTCAAGGTGGATCTAGAAGGGAGGTATGGATGATGTGGGAGGGAAGGGTAGAAAGGAAGGAGGAGGGAGGGAGGAGGACGATGGAGGCGGAATGTGGTGGACGAAGAGGAAACGTATCAGGAGACGGAAGGGGGACGAGAAGGAGGTTGCGGAGGAGGAGAGGTTGGAGAAGATCGTTGGGGATATTGATATCACTCCTAGTGTTTGTTGTCAGTGTTTGTGGTTACTACATTATCCTTCCAGCCTCCTTGTACATTACTCTGAGCTCACCTCTGGTGTATCGTTCATGGATTGTTTAATGTTTAGCAGCTTGGATGTCAGATGTCGTGTGGATCCTTCACGTATAAGCCTTTCTATGTTTCTTGATGTTGTCGGGCTTAGCTGTTGCAAGCATGATGTTCGCCAAGGCGTTTAGACATTTGGCGAAAATGCTATCGTGAACATGTACGGTTACACGTCACAAGGGTAAGCGATCGGAATCGTTTAAGCGACGCGTTGGTCTGTATCAGTGATCGTTTGTAAAGCGTTCAAACGATGGCACGGGCGCCTTTTGTGCAGCAGTTGTTGTGCACATCGTCAGGTAAAGAGATTGGATCGTTAGGCGGCTTGCGCCTTAAATGATGGTGACATAGCAAGCTTGTTCCAGCGCGCGGCCGCGGGAGAACAAGCCAAAGGACGAAGCCACTGTGCATCAAATCATTCAGTTGTAATCGTTGAGACTTGCGCGTTGATCAGGGGTCGCTGGCGTGTCTGTTCCAGCGTACAGCTGCAGGATGACCAGTCGAGTTGATGGAGGCTTCGGAAGAAGCAGCCACGTGAATCAAATAAATTACACTTGATCGCTGAGAGCTGCGCCTGCATTGCATCAGAGGGCGCTCGCTTGCCTGCTCCAGCGCGCGGTTGCGGGATGATCAATCGATGTGATGGAGGCTTCGGCAGAAGCAGCCAGGTGAATCAAATCAACTACACTTGATCTGAGAGCTGAACCTTCATATGGAGTGCTCGCGTGTCTGTCCTTGCGCGCGGCTGCAGGATGATCAGTCTTGCAGATGGGTGCTTCGGTGGAAGCAGCCACGTGAATCAAATAACTTACACTTGATCGCTGAGAGCTGCGCCTGCATCAGGGGGCGATCGCTTGTCTGCTTCAGCGCACGGCTGCGGGATGATCAATCGATGGGATGGAGGCTTCGGCAGAAGCAGCCAGGTGAATCTAATCAACTACACTTGATCTGAGAGCTGTGCCTTCATATGGAGTATTCGCGTGCCCGTTCTTACACGCGGCTGCAGGATGATCAGTCGAAGGGATGGAGGCTTCCGTGGAAGCAGCCAAATGAAGGTCAATTACACTTGATCGCTGAGAGCCGTACCCCACATCTGTAGGCCCCATCTAGGTTCGATCGATCCGACTATACACCGATTTCACTTGGCCCGATCCGCTTCGGTTTCCAGGTTCGTGTGATCCGTTGCGGCATGATGGTTGCGACCGGCATGATGTGCGGCCGACTGGATTCGATTTCGATTCCGTGCCGATGCGTTCTTATCTTTCCGATCCGATTCGATGTGGTGATACGATGTTGGTTGATGTTGCCTCTGTACACCTTTGGCGATGCTTAAGAAAACTTAAGTTTTCGGCCAGAGTCTCGATTATTCTTAACGTTTCAATGCAAATCGTAAGATTTTAATAGAAATGCTGGGTCTTTATTCAAGTTCTGAGAGTATGAATTTCTTAACCCATGATTTCTTAAGCATTTCGCAGGGTGTACCTCTCCTCCCCTCGCGGCCTCTCTCTTTCTCTCTCGTTGGCAGGTGCGTCGCGCCCGAGGTTCCCAGCTTTCCTGCGGGGGCGTTCGGTAGCAAATCACGAGCGCCTCAGCCTCGGCCCGCTCCGTGCCATAGCACGCGAGAGTTGCGAGCGGGCAACATTTGATTGCAAGTGCGAAAATCATACGCACTTTCACCAACGCGCAGGTTTTGCATCCAGTGCGCAAACTGTTCGATCCAGGAGTCAACTGCTGCGATTACTATTACACCTCTCCCCGCGTTTTCCCTTGTCTCCCCCTCGTCTCATCTTCTTCTCTTCGTGCTCCTCCATGAAGGGCTGCGCCCACTTAGAGCGCCAAAGTGCTAAGCAGCAGTGCGTTGCTTAGACATGCCCAGGGGTAGGATTCGATGCGATTCGGAGCTCGTCCGCGCAACATTTGTTTCACTTGCACTGGGCGCGGGTGCTCCAGGATTGGCAAGTTCTTGCCACCCATACTCAGCAAGGGTCCGGTTCGGCGGCGGGCCGGTTCGGTTGCAGCGGTTCGGTTTAGGCACCAGTCCAGTTTGAGCCGGTTCGGTTTTTCTCGGGACGGTTTGGTTTCGGGCGGTCCCGTTCGGGTGTTCGAAAAGTTGGCGCGCCAACGAGTATTGTTGCGTGTTGCGGCCGCGGATCGAACCGCGCACAAAACATGAGCAGGAGTGGGGGTAGGAGGGGGAGGAAGAGGAGGAAGAGGAGGAAGGGAAGGGAGAGGGGGAGCGAGAGGGGGAGAGGGAGGAGCGAAGGCAGCGGCGACGATGAGGGCGGCGTCCCGACGGCTTGAGCGCCGATAAGGAGGATCGCACCTGGAGAAGGCAAATCTCTGGGGCGCCCAGATCCCTCAAGTTCTACAAAACAAGCGATTCGCTCGAGACATCCTCGGTAACTCTGCGGAGCAAGCGTTTCGCTCGAGACATCCTCAACACACGAAAGAGTGGCCCGCACCCTGTGATTTATCGATCGGGATTTCAAAAACTAGCGTTTCGCCCGAGACATCCTCAAATTTTAATCCGCCGGTCCACCTCGACCTCGATATTTATCAGGGAAAGAATCCGCCGGCCCACCTCAGTTGAGGCACGGGGGACAGGTTTACCAACTAGAAGAGAACCCTGGGCCGGCGCCCTTTCCGGGAATCAATGGACTTCCTGGGGTCTCAGGATTGGGTTTCTTGTGGAAGGTTTCTCTTGTGGACTGGCCTCCACTGCAGGAGAAAGGAGGGCACGCCTTTCTGACGCTACGGGCGAAGCATCGCCCGACAGTCTGCCCAAGAGAAGCGAAACTCTGGACGCCCGACATGGGTACCGAAAGAATGGGTACGATGCCCAACAGCAGTTCCTGTTCATTTCGAACAGGACTCGCTGTCCGCGCCGCCGCGGCCTGTGTTCATTCGAAACAGAAGGCCGCCTGCCCAAGAGCGGCCGCTGTTGGTTCGGGACAACATTTGTTGTTGGGCATGTTGCCCATTCTTTCGGTACCCATTTCGGGTGTCCAAAGAAACGCCTCTGCCGCTTCCCGGCGCGAGGACATCTCCCAGGCGCAGGAGGCCAGGCAGGAGAGGGTGCCCATCGGCTGCAAGGCGGGGGGCTCTCCTCGCTCCTTTCTCTCTTCTCCGGCGGCACGCAGGCGAGGGCAGGACGAGGGTCAGGAGGGGAAAAAACACACAGACACAATTAATCGGCGATCCCCAGAAAATATGGGAAAATATGGGAAGTGGGGGGGAAGACAGAAACCCAGAAAATATGGGAAAATATGGAGGATATTTTTATGTGTGTGTATTTAGTTGTGTGTTCCAGTTCCCCTTCAGAGGGGGATCGAAGAGAGAGAGGCGACACAGAGATGAGCTTTTGGGAGTCCGGTCGGATTTCTCGGAGAGGCGCGATAGGCGTTGGACCCCCTCCCTGGCGCACGGAGCGCCGGAGGCGCCGCCGGAGGGGCTGTGCGCCGATCTGAGAGAAGCCCGCGCGGACCTCCGAGAGCTCATGCTCGTGCTATGTCTTTCGTGTCCCCCTACAGGGGGATTTTCGACGAAAAACAACAAATACCCCAAAAATCGCCAAAAATGTCAAAAAAATGTCAAACATGATGGACCCACGAACCCGGAAAGGGATATAGACATGTGGAGCATGGACACGTTTTCACGATACCCAACTGGGCAACACCTCACGAAACATCCCACGAGACACTTCACGAAACATCCCACGAGACACCTCACGAAACATTCCACGAGACACCTCACGAAACATTCCACGAGACACCCCGCGAAACATTCCACGAGACACCCCACGAAACATTCCACGACGACAGGCAACCACTCAACCAAGGCGGTGTGGTCGTGCTGGGGAGTGGTCGTGCTGGGGTGTGGTCGTGCTGGGGGGTGGTCGTGCTGGGGGGTGGTCGTGCTGGGGGGGTGGTCGTGCTGGGGGGTGGTCGTGCTGGGGCGTGGTCGTGCTGGGGCGTGGTCGTGCTGGGGCGTGGTCGTGCTGGGGTGTGGTCGTGCTGTGGTGAGGTCGTGCTGGGGTGTGGTCGTGCTGGGGTGTGGTCTTGCTGGGGTGGGTCGTGCTGGGGTGTGGTCGTGCTGGGGTGTGGTCGTGCTGGGTGGGGTCGTGCTGGGGTGGGGTCGTGCTGGGGTGTGGTCGTGCTGGGGTGTGGTCGTGCTGGGGTGTGGTCGTGCTAGGGTGGGGTCGTGCTGGGGTGGGGTCGTGCTGGGGTGTGGTCGTGCTGGGGTGTGGTCGTGCTGGGGTGTGGTCGTGCTGGGGCGTGGTCGTGCTGGGGTGGGGTCGTGCTGGGGTGGGGTCGTGCTGGGGTGTGGTCGTGCTGGGGTGGTCCGCACCCTGTGATTTATCGATCGGGTCGTGCTGGGGTGTGGTCGTGCTGGTGCTGGGGTGTGGTCGTGCTGGGGTGTGGTCGTGCTGGGGTGTGGTCGTGCTGGGGTGTGGTCGTGCTGGGGTGTGGTCGTGCTGGGGCGTGGTCGTGCTGGGCGTGGTCGTGCTGGGGTGTGGTCATGCTGGGGGTGTGGTCGTGCTGAGGTGTCCCGCACCCTGTGATTTATCGATCGGGATTTCAAAAACAAGCGCTTCGCCTGAGACATCCTCAAATTTGAATCCGCCGGCCTCCTTCGACCTCGATATTTATCAGGGAAAGAATCCGCCGGCCTCCTTCAAGTTGGGCACCGGGGACATGTTTACATAGAAAAAGAGAACCCTGGGCCTGCGCCCTTTCCGGGAAAAATTGTCCCCAGATTTGTTTGTTTTATTTTTTTTGATTATTTTTGGGGTATTTTATATTTTTCGTCGAAAATAATGCTTGTGCACTTGTTCCTTCCAGCAGGGGGGCGGCCCTGCAAGAAGCTACACCGAAGGAGAGGGCATCGAGGGAAAGTGGGTCCCGATCTGCTTCGCCGTCGTCGAGCTCTCGAGGCCCTCCCCGGGCCCTGGGACCATCGAGAAACAAATCAGGATGAAGAGATGGTCCCAGGAAAAGGCCAGGACCCGGTATCTTCGTGCCAAACAGTATTATGTTGTATGGAAAAAATATTGCGGAGGCTTGTCCAGGAGGGGTTGTCCGGAAGGGTTGTCCGGATCTTTGCTAACATCCGTAAGGGCTTCGCCCCTTGCCGCGGGCCCCTTCTCTCGGAGAATGGGCCATGGAAGAGCGAAGTCATGAGGCTTTGGCTTCCCCGTGAAGCAGTGTCGGGACCTGTTTGTTCTTGGACCCTGACCGTACGGATCTGCGTGAGGGGTGCCACCGAATTTCAGAAATGTGGCAAACCCTAGTGTTTTTGGTCCCTGACCTTACGGATCTGCGTGAGGGGTGCCACCGAATTTCAGAATTACGGCGCAAATCCCTTGTGTTTTTGGACCCTGACCTTGCCGATCTGCGTGAGGGGTGCCACCGAATTCCCGAAATGTGGCCAATCTCATGTGTTCTTGGACCCTGACCCTGCCGATCTGCATGAGCGGTGCCACCGAAGTTCAAACATGTAGCAAATCCCATGTGTTTTTGCACCCTGACCCCGCCGATCTGCGTGAGGGGTGCCACCGAATGTCAGAAATGAAGCAAATCCTATTTGTTTTTGCACCCTGACCCCGCCGATCTGCGTGAGGGGTGCCACCGAAGTTCAAAAATGCGGCAAATCCCACTTGTTTTTGCACCCTGCCCCCGCCGATCTGCGTGAGCGGTGCCACCGAAGTTCAAAAATGCAGCAAATCCCATGTGTTTTTGCACCCTGACCCCGCCGATATGCGTGAGGGGTGCCACCGAATTTCAGAAATGTAGCAAATCCCACTTGTTTTTGCACCCTGCCCCCGCCGATCTGCGTGAGCGGTGCCACCGAAGTTCAAAAATGCAGCAAATCCCATGTGTTTTTGCACCCTGACCCCGCCGATATGCGTGAGGGCTGCCACCGAATTTCAGAAATGTGGCAAATCCTATTTGTTTTTGCACCCTGACCCCGCCGATCTGCGTGAGGGGTGCCACCGAATTTCAGAAATGTGGCAGTTCCTTTGTGTTTTTGGACCCTGACCCCGCCGATCTGCGTGAGGTGTGCCACCGAATTTCAGACATGTTGCAAGTCCCTTGTGTTATTGGACCCTGACCGCGTCGATCTGTTTGAGGGCTGCCACCGAATTTCAGAAATGTGGCAAATCCCATATGTTTTTGGACCCTGACCCCGCCGATCTGCGTGAGGGGTGTCAATTTTTACCTTCCCCAGCAATTCAGTCAATTCGCTCTGGGCGTTGTGAAGGTGCCCGTTTTGGGCCTCCCCCCTCGCGCGGTCCATCAACAAGGAACAGCAAGCAGCAAGAAATCAACAAGGAACGGTAAGCAGCAAGAAGCAGGACTGTAACAGTGGAAATTGGAAGCTGCAACTGGTACAGGGAAACTGCGAACCTCCGGCCTACAGCCTGGTGGCCCCACAAGGGGGCCGGCGGATTTTATCTCGTCCCCCCGCCTTGCCTTATCCCACTTCCTCTTTGCTCCCCCATTCCTTCTCCCCCTCCTCTCCTGCCTTCCCCCCCTCGTCGCTTCCCGACTTAGCCATGTCCGCTTCCAATTTCCCGCCTACCTCCCCCGTCCTCCCTCCCTCCCTCCGCCCCGTGGACGACAATGCCAGCCCCCATATATGCTGACGACTGGGAATATGATGGTATCAACGCTTTCGGCCCAAGGTGCTTGCCCGAAGGTTCTGCGCTCCAACCAACGTATGTGTTTGGTGATGCGAGCGGAGGCCCCGACACCGCGGATCCGAGATTGAGGAGGGTCGCCGTGGGCATAGCCGTGGTCAGTGTGTTCCAGCCGCTGGTCGTTGATGCCTATGTTGTTGGTGAATTAGCAGGTACTCGGCAGACGGTAGCGCGCGGTGAGTTGAAGGCCCTCTGGCTGACCGTTTTTGCTTCGAACGGACCAACGGTTTTCACCACGGACTGTAAACCAGTGTGCGATGGATGGAATCAAGCTAAGTATCTTAACCCTTCTGGGGTGGACGCTGACATTTGGGGTCACATCGGTTGTGTCCTACGGGACAAGGATCCAGCTGATATCTCTGTATTGTTTGTCCACTCACATCTCGGAGGAGAGGCCGTCGTGGACGGCCGTGCGGAGTTGTGGCAGGTTCTGGGCAACACAGCTATTGACGCCATCGTCGGTGCAGCTGCCCTTGAGCTCCGCGTTCCGTCAGAGCATCGGCATCGGCTGCATGAGATTGAACGCCAAGCATACCTTGTGAGGCATCGGCTGCTACGATCGACCCTCGACAGCTACCAGGCGGGCGAGGCTCCGAGGAAGAGTGAGGCCCCTCCTCCTCCTCCTCCCCCTCCTCGTCCTCCGTCTGTCTCAGCGGTGGCCAATTTCACCACCAGCCACTCCTTAGACGATGGGGCTCTCCGTTGTTTGAGGTGTTTTGGAACAGCTACGCAGGCCACAGCTGTCCAGTGGAAGAGTAGCCCATGCATTTCCCCTGTGTTTCTGAATGGTAAGTATTTAACTAAACCTGCAGGTTTTATACTTCATTTAGCGGGGGGCTGGGTCCACAACAGTCACACTATGAATTTATGTCCCGTTCTGAAGTTGTGGTTTTGTAAGGTGTGCGGCTCCTTCTCCAGTAAGAGAGCCAGTGAGCTTCATAAGCAATGCCGTGGCCGTGCCACACCAACAGGGGTCGAGTATTTGAACCGAATTGACCGTGGTTTATGGCCCAAGGTCCTCAGCAAGGCTGAGCAGGCCACTCGTTTGAGGTCAGGTCGGTCCTTCCCCCAGGTGTAAGGCCCATTTTTTCACTTAGTGAACTGACATTCCCATTCCCTCCCTCCCTCCCTCCCGTTGCTCCGCCTGCTCCTGCTCCTTCTCCTCCACCCTCTCCTCCTGCCCCTCCTCCTCTCTTCCTCGCCTGCACGTTCTCCTCCTGCCCCTCCTCCATCCATCCATCCTCCTCCTCCTCCTCCTCCTCCTCCTCCTCCTCCTCCTCCTCCCTCTTCCTCCTCATCCTCCTTTCTTCCCTCCTCCTCCTCCTCCTCCTCCTCCTCCTCCTCCTCATCCTCCTCTTCCTCCTCCTCTCCTCCTGCTCGCTCCCGCTGGCCAGGCAGGCCCCGCGCCGGCCCAGGAAGTGCGCGCGGACCTCGGATAGTTTCCGTGCCCGTGCCGTCCCGCCCTCCCCTGCTCGGGGCAGGAGGGAGGAGGAGGAGGAGGAGGAGGAGCGGGAGCGAGGAGCGAGAGCGAGAGGAGGAGGAGGAGGAGGAGAGGTGGAGGAGGAGGAGAGAGGAGCGAGGAGCGAGGAGGAGGAGGAGGAGGAGGAGGAGGAGGAGGAGGAGGAGGAGGAGGAGAGGGAGAGGTCGCGAGCCGCTGGAGGAGGTCGAGCCGCTGGAGCCCCGCTGCCCGGCAGGGAGGCCGCAGGGACAGCGCGCCCGGGCTCGGCGCAGGCTGCTCCGGGGCCCGAGGAGGTCGTAGAGCTGCTCCGGCCTGAGCGGGTCGTGGGACTGCTCCGACCTGAGCGGCTCGATCATAAAACTGCTCCCTGAGCAGGTCGTAGAGCACGGACGGGGAGCGAGTTCACCGACTCCCACTTGCGAGGTAAACAGTGCGCCGGCAGCAGTAGCAGCAGCGTTGCTGAGCTGAGCCGACCTGCGAAGGTCGTGAAATTGCTTCGACCTGAGCAGGTCGCGGGGGTCCGCCGGCCCCCGCTGGCCGGCCCGGGTTTGGGGAGCCGTGCGGGGCGCTCCAGAGAGGTCCTCGCCCTCAAGGAGTTGCCATCTCTTCCTCGGCGGAGGGTTGGCGGAAGGCCGGCGCGAGCTGGCAGAAGTAAACATACGTTTTGACAGCAAGTATGGGTTCGGGGTTTGCGGAACCAGCCATGCGTTGAAGGAAAGCATTGCGCAAACATAGGTGTGTGACGATCCGCGCGGACCCTCCGAACCTGTATGTTTGCGTCACGTGTTGTTCCTGTAATGTGGGCGACGGAAGAAAACGGAGCCCGACATTCGCGAGTAAGTTGCCCGCGTAGGGCCGCTCCTGAGCGCTTTCGTTTCCGATCTGGCGTGCCGCGCTGGCGGCCCGGTTAAGCCACCGCGTAAGTTCGCCATGTCATATCGCGTAAGACCAGTTTCTGTGCGTTGCCCACGTGGGCCCATCCTCTCTGTCCGCCCTCCACAGACCCGGGCTTGGGAGCCGACCCGGCTTCGGGACAGGGTCCTTGCTGACCCGGGATAGTGTGTCCCCGACATGGGAAGCGGGGACGAGGGGGCAGTGGGGCATCGATGGAGTGTGCAGCCGTTTGGCACCTGGGCTCAGGGCAGTGCCAGCTTCGGGAGGGGAACCCTCGCAGTCACGACGCTGCCCCACTGGGTTCTTCCACGGCCGCTCCTCCGGCGCTCCTCGTGACCCCCGCCCCCTCTGTAAGGCCAAAAGGGGGCGTCGTTTCTCGCGTGGCGCTCCTTGTCCGCAGCGGCTCGGCTGTGTACAGTAGGTTCGTGTCGTGTCGACCAGCGGCGACCCCGCCGCCGGCGTTCAATGTCGACCGCCGGCGGCGCCCAAAATCGGTCGATGTTGAACGATTGCACGTTGCGGAAACGGCCGATCGTTCAAGGTTGAACGATCCAGCGCGGTGGCAGAAACCAACGCCAGGGTTGGCACGACACGAACCTGGGATGGGGGAGGGGGGGCACGGGAGTGCCTCAGAGGTCAGGTCGTCACCGTGCGGCAACCCTCTTTTGAGGGAGCGGAGAGTGGGAGTGTGAGGAGGGGAGGAGGAGCGTTGGAGGAGACGTGGGGAATGAGGAGGAAGGAGGAGGGGATGGAGGAGTGGGGATGAGGAGGAGGAGGAGGAGGAGGAGGAGGACGAGGGGAGGGAAGAGGGGGATAAGGCGAAGGAGAAGGAGGGGAAGATGGAAGGAGGAGGAGGAGTAGAGGAGGGAGAGAGAGGAGGAAGGAGAGAGGGGAGGATAAGAGGAGAGGAGAGGAGGAGGAGCGGCAAGTCAAGGAGCGGTGGAGGAGGTGCCCTCCGCAGTATGTGGCCCTCCCCCCCTGTCACAGGGTGTCGCTCGTCAGCACGCTGGGGCTGTACCTGGCCGCGCGCCCGCGCCCAGCGCAGCGCCCGCGCTCCTCCTCCTCCTCCTCCTCTCCTCCTCCTCCTCCTCCTCCTCGTTATCCTCCTCCTCCGCCTCCTCCTCATCCTCCTCCTCCTCCTCATCATCATCCTCATACTCATCATCATCATCAGCAGCAGCATCATCATCATCATCATCATCATCATCATCATCATCATCGTCATCGTCATCGTCATCGTCATCGTCATCTTCATCATCATCAGCATCATCATCATCATCATCAGCAGCAGCAGCATCAGCATCAGCATTATCATCATCAGCAGCAGCATCATCATCGTCATCGCCATCGTCATCGTCATCAGCATAATCATCATCATCATCATCATCATCATCATCAGCAGCATCATCATCGTTGGCATCATCATTACCATTATCATGTTCAGAATCATGCTCAGCATCATCATCAGCATCACCATCATCATCAGAGCATCAGCATCATCAGCAGCATCATCAGATTCATCATCGTCAGCATCATCACCAGCATCAGCATCATCATCAGCAGCTGCATCATCGTCATCGTCATCATCATCATCAGCAGCAGCATCATCATCGTTGGCATCAGCATTACCATTACCATGCTCATATTCATGTTCAACATCACCATCTGCATCAGCATCACCATCAGCATCATAGCAGCATCGTCCTCATCATTATTATTATCAGCATTATTATACTCATCATCAGCATCACTATAATTCGTCGTCGTCATCGTCATCGTCGTCACCATCAGCATCAAGCATCATCATCAGCAGCATCGCCATCATCATCATCATCAGCAGCATTATCTTCATTGCCGTGACCATTATCATTATATGTACCATCATCTTCATCATCATCAGCAGTATCATCACGACCACCATCACCACCACCACCACTATCACCTTCAACATAACCAGCAGCAGTAGCATCATCATCACCATCATCACCATCGCCATCAGAATCACCATCATCACCATCACCATAATCATCAGCAGCATCATCAGTAGCAGCAGCATCATCATCATCAGCATCATCATCATCGTCATCATCATCATCATCATCGTCGACGTCATTCTCAGCATCAGCATCACACTCGTCATCGTCGTTATCAGGATTATCATTACCAGCAGCAGTATCATCATTATCGTGGTCATCCTCCCGCCGTTCCGCCTGCTCCTCCTCAATCGTTCTCATCCTCCTGCCTTTCCCTCTCCTTCCCTTCCTCTTCCTGCTCATCCTTCTCATCCATCTCGTCCTCCTCCTTCTCCTCCTGCTCCTCATCATCATCATCATCATCATCATCAGCAGCAGCAGCATCATCATGCTCCTGCTCCTCCGCCGGCTCCGTCTCCTCCTGCCCGCCCTTCTCATCTTGCCCTTCCGTCTCATTCTCATCATCCTCCCCCTTCCTCCTCCACCTCCTGCCGCAGCACTTCCTATTCCAGCCGCGGGATGAATGCGCGCGAAAAAAGGGGGTGGCATCGCCCTTCGGGGAAGAAGCGATCCACTGAGATGACCCTCCTCTCCCTCCTCTCGTCGTTATCTCGGTCTCACTCCTCCTCATCATGTCCCTCACGTATGGTCCTCATCCTCATCCCCTTCGTTCCCCCTCTTCTCCTGCTCTCCGTCCTCATTATCCCTCCGCTTTTTGTCCGTCCTCGTCGGAGAGGGAGCGGGGCAGGAGACGAACACGCCCGGAAGCAGAAGACGAACATTCGAGACTGAAGACGGAGGTGGAGGGGGAGAACAACGGGGAGGAGGGAGGAGGGGGACGGAGAAGAGGAGGAGGAGGAGGAGCAGGAGGAGGAGGAGGAGAAAGGCGAGGAGGAGGAGGAGGAGGAGGAGGAGAAAGGCGAGGAGGAGGAGGAGGCGAGGAGGAGGCGGAGGAGGAGGAGGATGTGAAGGAGGCGGAGGAGGAGGAGGAGGAGGAGGAGGAGGAGGCGAGCGCGTGGCCAGGCTTGCGCAGCACGAGCATCCCCGGGGGCAAGCGCATGGCTGGGCGCGCCGTCCCAGCCCGAACGCCGCCTCTCAGACGCGCAGTTCGGGGTCGCGCTGAGCGCGCGTCTTGGCGAGAGCCTGCTCTGCTGCACGGGGGGGCCAGCACAGGCACCGCCCCCTCCTCCCCCTCCCTCTTCCGGGCCCCCTCCTTTCGTCGGCCCCCCCCCCCCCCACACACATTTTGAGCCCATCCCTGATATGGTTATCCTCTGTGTTGCGCCCACCCGCGTCCTGTGAGGTGGACGAGGGCCGCTGTGGGGGCGTGCACACCCTCCACCAAGACCAAGACCAAGCTCAGGCTCCGACGGGAGCATGTGGAGCCGTGTTGGACCCGGAGGGCAGCATGCACGGTCCTGCGTGGTGGGCTGATGGCTCGTCCGCCGCCACGGAGCTTGTTGTGCCTTCTTGGCGGTCTGGTGCGAGGAGACGGGTTGCACGCTGCACGAAGAAGTGATGTTACCGCATGCAGCAGCCAGCCGGCCCAGAGCACGAATGGATCTGATCACCCATACCCTCCGGGCAGTTCTGCCTATCCGAGGGGATTTCACGGTCGCGAGCGCGCTGTTCCGGGATGCGCTGGAGCGCGGGTCAGTCCGGCGCGTCGGCGCCGCGGCCGCGGCGGAATTCGACAAGCGCACGAGGCAGCCCGGCCTCCAATGGTTTTATTCGCGGTTCAGGACCACGGCCGCTTGGGCAAGGACGCCTTGGCCTTGGTGCGCGTGCCTGCCTGCTCCGCCGCCAGACGTCGAGCGATCGGCGGCCACCCGCGGGCTTCATCGGCGCCGCCAGCTCTTCGCTCCATGTGGGAGCCGCCCGGGCCGCCCAGGGCCCCGGGGGCACCTTGGGCCAGGGGCGCTCCCAGCAACGCCCGAGCGGGGCACGGCGGCGCGTTTGGGCGGCGAGCCCGGGGGGAAGTGAGAAGGGGCGGGCCTTCTCAGAAGGCTCGGAAATTCCTGGGCCTTCTGAGAAGATGTTCTAGCCTTCCCCGAAGACGCAGAAACGCTTCAGAAGGCCAGAGCGCTTCTGAGAAGCCCAGCCGCCTTTGAGAAGGCCTTCTTCTTTTCGCCCCCCCCTCCCCCTCGCTCGCCGCCGAGCGTTGGCCGGACGAAGGGAGGGGGAGGGGGGGATAGACTTTCAGCACGGGGGGGAAGCAGCAGCTGCAGCGGCACGCGACAGGAGCAGGGCAAGAAGCACAAGGAGTAGGAGGAGAAGAAAAAAGAGGAGGAGAAGGAGGAAATGACGGGGATGAGGAAGAGAAGAGGGCAGAAAAGGAAGCTACGGGGGCGGGGAAGAGAAGAGGGTAGGAGGCGGAGGAGGAGGAGGCGGATGAGGAGGAGGAGGAGGAGGAGAAAGAGGAGGAGAATCAGGGGGAGGGTCAGGAAGATGCGGCGGAGGAGCAGTAATGCGCGGGGGAAGCAGCCGTTGGAGGGGGCGTGCTCTGAGAGAGAGTTACCACCAGACGGGTCACGTTTCCAATGATCTCCCTCGCCGCTCCGACAGGAGAAGCAGGAACAGCAGTAGGCAGGCGCCCGTCGAAGGTTGGAAGCGTGGCGGCCTCTATGGAGTAGCCCCCGCCCAGGAAATGTGGCTCACGCGTTCCGCCGCGCACGAAACTGCACGCGGGTGTCCACGTCCAACACAGTCTGCAGCAACGCAGAGCGAAACCGACGACATGCGCTGACCAGCGACGTGCTGCACGGCAAGTCACGCACTGCCAAGGCAATGCGTAGCGGCTCCGCGCCGCACTGCGTCGGGAGAGAAGGAGCAAGACCGCGTGGGTGGCGATTGGCGCCGTCATGATAAGTTCAGGAGGGGAAGAAACACACAGACACAATTAATCGTACATTTTCCAGAAAATATTGGAAAATATGGGAAGTGGGGAGGAAGACAGAAACCCAGAAAATATAGGAAAATATGGGGAATCGTTTTATTTGTGTGTATTTATTTGTGTGTCCCAGGGCCCCTTCCAAGGAGCAAGATTGCGTGGGTGGCGATTGGCGCCGTCATGATAAGTGCCACGGGTGTGACAAGGTGGCGGCTCGGTGGCACCCCTCCCCGCGGCCGTCTCGACGACGGGCAGGGCCTCGGCCGCCCCTGGTGCCGTTCTGGCGGCCTCCTTGGCAACCACCGGGGCGAGAGCCCACGCAGCCCCTTAGGATAGAAGCTGCGCGGGGTGCGAGGCCGATTGGCTGTCCTCACGGGCGAGGCATATTGACGCCTCACCCTGGGAGGGGGAGAGAGAGGGAGATGGCCTAGCGCCGACGCCGTCCATGAGCCATCTCGGGTCCCGAGGCGGGGGGCTTGAAAGCGGGGAGCCCGCCCAGAAAACGTGAAGGGGCAGGGATGTGCTGACGTCTACCTGGCCCGCTGCGGCCAAGGAGAGCGACACAGCTTTTGACCCGAAAGGGGGAGAGGGACAGGGAGGGGGAGGAGGAGGAGGAGGAGGAGGAGGAGAGGAGAGGAGGAGGAGGAGGAGAGGAGAGGAGGAGGAAGGAGGGGGAGGAGGAGGAGAAGGAGGAGGAGGAGGAGGAGGAGGACGAGGAGGACCAGGAGTGACGATCAACCTCTCACCCAGCACTTGGACAGACCAAGGTGATGGCGACATCCACGACAGAACGGCAGCATCCTCCAGAACAACCTCGGACCCATGGGGAAGAGTTAACCTTGGAGGCAGGGCAGCAGAACGTCGACTGATCGCGAACCACCACGCCCGCCTCGCCATCCACATCTTCCATACCGCCCACATTGCAGAAGTACCAGTACTACTAGCGCAATCCTCAGCCCCAGAAGGTCCGTCGCTGATGTGGACGACCGAGCAGATAAACTACGTATACTACGATACGGAGAGAATCGCCACAGGAAGACCGACCAGGATTGACTCCACCAGCAACCTCTACGCCATTTACGACGGCCACTCCCACGAGCACAGCAACCCACTCGACGACTTCGTCGACTCCGTCTTGGGCAGCATGCTCCCTGGAGGTCGGACTGCAGCCAGCAGATCCGACGACCTGAGCTGGCCGTAACAGGGCCCAAGAGGATCGAGACGGGCGCCTACCACGGCAAGACGACCGTGGGGCTCAAGGCGGCCGCCTACATCATCACGGACGCCCCCCTCAAGGGAGAGGGGGGGGGACGACACGGTCCAGGCGTGACCTGGGCCGCCACCCGCGTGAAGGCCTCATGGGGGTGGACTCCCTTCCTCCCCAAGGCCTTTAATGAGCCCCCTCCCCCCACTCCGCTTTGCCACCCCCATGTGGCCTCTCCCTTTTCCCCCCCTCCGCCCCGAAACTTCTGGGCCCTTTTTTCTCCCCCTGCGAGGCCCAAGCGGCTTCTCCTGCGAGGCCTAGGCGGCTTCTACTCCTTGCCCTCCTGGCGGGGGCCCGTGTCGGGGGGGTGGCCCCCTCCGCGCGCCTCGGGCGCGCGCGCGCGGCCGCGGCCGCGCGAACAGCTTCGTCCAACGGGACATCGAGCTGCGAGCGAAGCGAAGCGAAGGAGGAGGAGGAGGAGGAGGAGGAGGAGGAAGAGGAGGAGGAGGAGGGGGGAAAGGGAAGAAGCTGGCGGGGAGAAGTGGGCGGCCTTGGACTCTCGTGGGGCTCCAAAAAGTGGCATACAGTGGAGACCCGTGCCAAGAAACACCCTGCTTGCCTCCAGGGTGCCCTGGATCTCTTGGGTTCTGGTGGTCACGCGATGGAAAGCTTGTGACGTTCCCACACCAAAAATCAATGGACGTCCTGGGGTCTCAGGGTTGGGTTTCTTGTGGACGGGCCTCCACTGCAGCGTGTCCCGGAAGAGGCCCCGCTGGAGTCTGATGGTCCGCAGTGCGTGCCCCGGAAGCGCCCCGCCAGAGCAGGCGGCCCAGACCGCTCTCGCGGAGCGGCGCCGGAGCATCCTGAAGTGAATTCTCGCCAGAGCATGCCGTCAGGAGGGGAGAAGACACACAGACACAAGTCGGCGATGAGCGGGGGGGGGAAGTGAGAAGGAGAAGGCCTTCTCGGGAGGTTCGGAAGTCCCCGGGCCTTCTGAGAAATTGTTTAAACTTCCCCGATGACGGAAAAACTTTTCAGAAGGCGCGAGGGCTTCTAAGAAGTTCCGCCGCCTTCTCCTCATCAGTTCCCCCCTTCGCTCGCCACCGAACAAGGAGTCGTCGACTCCCAGGAAATATCGGAAAATATGGGAAGTGGGGGGAAAATGAAGACCCAGAAAGTACGGTAAAACACAGGGCATCTTGGGATGTGTGTATTTATGTATCTGTGTGTTTTGGGCCGAACAACGGGAACAGAGCATCAGATACAGTCAACCCGCATGGTAAGGAGGAGCGACTCTCCAAGCTTACTTCCCCTTGCGGCCCAGCCTCGGCCGCCTTCGCTGGCCGCGCCCCGCTCGCAAAGTGCCGGCATGGCCTTCCGAGGCCCCTGCGTCCTCGTCGCGCGTCCAGAAGTATCGAGATTGGCTGCGTGTGTCGATGGCGGCCACGGGGGTGCGCGCGAGGCCATTTCCTGGCAAGCGTGCGCCTCGCCCCAAAGCTGCCGCTCCTCGAAAAAATCGTGCCCAGGCCTCGCGTGCTCGGTCGCCGACGGCCGCGCGGCGAAGGCAGCGGGGCCCGTCGGGGCTCCGGCAGGAGCCGTCTGCTCTCCGCTGCAGCTCGGCTGCCTCGATGCGCTTTGCCGATCCACGCTTCACCCTTGCGAGGCCTCCCAGGGACCCTCTTTGCCGGCGTTGGCGTTGGCTTGCGAGGCTCTTCCAGCCCCAACAGTCACGCGAGAAGCTTCCCCCCCCAAAAAAAAGTGTGCAAGCTGGATTCGAGGCTGCCACGAAGACGAGATCAGAAAACCACCTTCCCTCCATACCCCCGACGGACAGCAGGGATGGGCGGCAAAAAACCATAGGCCAGAGGCCGGTGGAAGATGGATGTCCTGTGAGCTTCGAAAACAGGTGTAAAGAAGACATGGCCCACTTTGCACTCCCGTCCTTGACGAGCACAGGGCAGGCGGTGGGGAG